AAGAAACTGTCGTAATTGGTTAAACAGATGCCATCATTATTCGATTCTTTAAGAAGCTTAGTTAACTCTGAGACCTCCTTGGGACTCTCGAGACACAAAGTCTTCTTAAGAATAACATGATCATGCAAGCAAAGAATAGATGTAAAATTATACAAATGAGGGTAATTGTGTTTTATTATTTAAAGACGTATTATTGGATGACGATCGTTATGTTCAGAGCTTATATTTATTCACAAATACACTTCAACAGATAAGAAGAAATACTGAGGTATATGAATATCACCCCAATGTAGGAGTATGGGGAGACATGATTACGATATAGAAAATAAAGGAAATTGACAAAATCGATAGTAAGCAATGTTCTACATGAGGAACAGTATAACGTGGGGGCTAGAGATGTAAACTAGAGACATAAATGAGCTACATAGATGTTAGAAAGAACTCCTGTGTAACAGCAGTAAATCAATGGAATTATTTAAAAGAAGACATACTCAGGACAGAACTTTAGACATAGAATTGTTTAGAAGAAAGCTACCTTATTTCAAAATTTTAGAAATAGAATTGTAATAAAACGAGAGAAAATTTGTTTTTACAAACTGCTCCTCGATCAAAAGTCGGTGTTTGTTCACTGTTACACGGCCCTTTAATAACATCCAGCATTTTACACACACACACACACACACACTGACCAAAGAGCCAGAGCTCAACCCCCGCAAACACAACTAGGTGAGTTCACACACACACACACACACACACACACACAAACACAACATGCATGGTAGTGCAAGGACCTGCAAGACACACACAGGAAGGCGTGCGTGTATTGAACAAATGGTTAATAATGCATAGACACCGACACAATAATAAAGATGAAGAGGGACAAAGAGGGGGAAGAACAAGATATGAAAGCAGAAACATAACTGAAACAGAGAATTTCCGTCAAGATGAAGTGACTCAAGCAATAAAGAAGATAACAGGGCAACAGGAAAGGAGGGAAGTGGAAGGCGAGGCAAATAAACATGAGACATAAGACCGTAAACAAATGTTTGACTGATTGGGGGAACATTTATAAGTGGAGAGATAGGAGGCGAGAGTTTAATTTACATAATTGAGATAGCCACTGGAAAATTAAAATAAACAAAAAAAAACGGAGGTGAGAAACAGAATAAGCGAGAAAGTCTTACAAGAACTTGAAGAACAAAATATGAATAAACGAGACGATTCATCAATGGAATAAAAAGGGGAAGATACTCTTAGCAAATTCTTCATATAAATAATATATATACATATATATTTAAATATATCTTTAGGCTCTGGGTATTAGGGGCTTTAAGCGACGTACTTGCCAACCTCTAAGTCAACAATCTGTTTATATATATATATATATATATTATATATATATAATATATATATATATATATATATATATATATATATTTATATATATATATATATATATATATATATATATATATATATATATATATATATATATATATATATATATATATATATATATATCTATATATACATATATATATATATATATATATATTATATATATAATATATATATATATATAAATATATATATATATATATATAGATTTATATATATATATATACATATATATATACATATATATATACATATATATGTTTAATATTAACCGAAATACATTCGCTAGTAAAATCCTGAAATGTTTGCTGAATGTAAAAAATTTTCTCTGTGAAAGTTCAGCGTGAAATTATTATTTTTTTATATAACCGTGCCACACACCCATATTGTGACCAAATGCTTCTGTGGAGTTGACGCAACAAAACATTCTAGAATAAATTTTTTAGATTTTTGTGTATTTGACTGAGGAAATTGTGGATGGGCCCCATCACACATATGCAAAATTTTTTCAATAAAAAACGGGCGGTGGGAAATGGAAATGTCTGAATACTGGGGCAACCCTCAGGGTGGGCGGGGTTTATGTGGGCGTGGTTCTGTGGGCGTGGTTCTGTGGGTGTGGTTATAGTAATTCTGTGAGGAAAAGTATGACTACGGTCGGTGCAGTTAAGGAGGTTCTGTGCGAGTTGTTATGGTAGTTCTGTGGGAGTGGTTATGATGCATCTGTGGGTGTAGTTGTAGTTGTTCTGTGGGTGTGGAAATCCTGGTTCTGTTTGTGTTATTACGGTGTTTGATGGGGGTATATATAGTGATTTTCCTAGTGGTTCTGTGGGTTTAGTTACGATGGCTTTGTGTGTGTGTAGTTATGGATTTTCTATGGATATTGCTGTGGTGGTTCTGTGGGTGTTATTACTGTGGCTCATTGAACATGGTTATGAGAGTGTGGTTCTGTGAGTGTTTACTGTGGGTGAGGTTTTGGCAGCTCGGTGTGTGTGTGGTTATGATGATTTTCAGGATGTAGTGGGTGTGGCTTCGCCGGGTTGGGGGTGTGTCAACACAGAAACGTACAGTTATAGTGCAAACTCTTTGACGCTGTTAGTTCAGTTTATTTGATGTGGACAAACAGCTGCATAAAAACGTATTCCTACGTGATTAGTGGCTTTAGGAAAGATGTAAATGCTTATTTGTTTTTAATTTTTGCTAATCCCTCTGTATTAATTTATATTAATTAGTAATGGTACAATTATGTGTATAAATGTAAATATAAATATAGGGAGGGTACCAACTCCAGAGCAGTTGAGGTGACCCAAAGCCGCGGAGAAGTAAATAGGGAGCAATCAGAGAACATTATATATATGCAATGTAATCATTATATAATCTGTAACCCCTCCAGGATTCGATCCTGGGCTGCCAGAAAACCATTGCCCTAGCTGCTAATTCATTTAACTATTTAGCCAGCGATTACCTAGTGGTTATAGGACTCAACTGCGAGGGGAATAGTTCTTTGGCGGTCCAGGTTCGAATCCTGGAACGGGTATAGTATTTACAATTCAACATAGGCTTGGGGACATTTCAAGCTTAACACACACACACACACACACACACACACACACACACACACACACACACACACACACACACACACACACACACACACACACACACACACACACACACACACACACACACACACACACTCACTCATACATAGATACATAATCCACGAAGTAGAGAATCTAAAACAGGAAAACAGCAATTGAATTAGGTTCAACCGAAGCATTAGTTATTTAAGTAAGTTAGAGGTGAGAGGTCAAAGGGTCAGCGGTCACTGATCAGGGGGCTTGAATTTCATAAGTTATCAAGAGTCATAGGTCAAGAGTCAGACGCCAAAGGCAAGATTTTATGGTCACTGGTCAGAGGTCATGTGCTAGAGTTCATTTAATCAAAACTCCAGGTCAAGTGATCAGAAACCATGTATTAGAGGTACCTATTCAATGGTCAAATAATCAAAAAGCTACCTTAGGCAACATTCTATCTATAATTCTCCACAGGCATAATTTTCCGCTTTGAAATTGTATTTAATAATTCTTCTTCAGTAACTATCCTGGTATAATTAGCAGAAAACATATATAAAAAGTTAATTTTCCACGTATTATGATTCCCCAGGTAAGATTCTTCAGATACAATTGTCAAGGAAAAATTCCCCAGGTGTGATTTCCTAGGCAATAATTTTCCCCCAGGTACAATTTGCTGCCACAAGAATACCTGGTCTAAGCCAGACCAATAGGCATTTCTACCCAGATTCTGCAAACTTCCTCTCTTATATTAACCGAGGGCAAAACTTTAGCACGTGAACTCTCTTGCAGAAAGTTTATAAACACTCATTTAGCTTCTTTCATTGCCTTTAAACTTGGTAAAACTTCCTCTCCAGTGACGTCAAGCTGTGTATAATAAAAGGATATGTTGGATCGAGCCTCGTATGAGACCTTGGGACAACCTTGGTCCCAAGGTTGTCCCAAGGTTGTTGTCAACAACAAGGTTGTTGGGACAACCTTGTGGTAACCTTGTGGCAATCCTCATAACATGAGCTCATCGTTTTCTGTGAATCCAAATGAAAAGGGGGTAACTATTGCTCAAGAAATGTGGAAATTCCGTTCTAGGAACTTTTCTACGGTATTTAATATTTGGTCTCCATCCTCTCGCTCTCTCTCTCTCTGGGGTTACTTTTGCCTAGTCGCAATAGGTGGCACAGTACCAGTGGGTCACTGAGTTTTGTCTCAGGTGGGAAAAAGCCGGCAGTGGGACCCTTAGTATTCTCTCAGGCGGTAAAGTTCCGACAAAGGGTCCTTAAGATAAATCTTACTGTCTTTACGACAGTTTTGTTTTTATCCCAGGCTTCCAAACCATCTGGGAGTGATCGTTCGATTTTGTCTTAAGGAAGATAAAATATCGACTTTGGATTTTTCTGACTTGTATTTTGCTGTCATTAATTATCGTTCAAGTGTTTATTTGTATAAGAGAGACCCAAAAAGAAGGTATCATGTTGATAACGGTTCAGCTGGTCACCTGATGTTTGCCTCGATGAACGAAAGTTTCCGACAACGGATATCCGAGTGCCGTTTTTATCCTCGTCTGGAAGGAAGAACCCCGAGAGAGGAAGGGTGTGTGGATGGTCGAACTCATACAGGATGGTTATATTGCCGACAGAAATGGAATATTGTTGGTTTTATTTTTTAAATTATTTTCCTAGTAGGAATATCATATTCAGTAGGTTTATATTGTTTATTTTCAGGACTTAAGTTTATTTTAAAAAAATCTTATGTTCCCTAAAGGCAATCACCAGGCATTGCCTCGTTTCTATAATTAACGTGTGCTTTCAAACTATAATAATGTATATAAAATGTGAATTCAAAATGTGTTAATAAATTTGTGTATCCAGAAGATACTATGTATTGTGTATTCATATTGTATTCATACTATATATTATTAAAATGTTAGCCAATTTGACAGTGAGAACTCTTGCAGTTCTCATACTTGATATTTCTTGTATTGGAAATACAAAAAATAAAACTTTAATCAAATATTATTTCGTATATATTCAACAGCATCGACTCCCGAAGTGGGTCCATGGAGAGTTCGGTGCACTGGTCGGCGTTAGGAAACAGGGCCCAGTTCGACGTCTCTTCACATAGCCAGAGCCTCATCATTACTCATGTCCAGGCGGATGACGACGGCATCTACCGTTGCAGAGTTGATTTTAGGTCCTCCCCCACCAGAAACACAGGAGTGAATCTTCTAGTTGTTGGTGAGTAGTAAGAAAAATCGCTTTCAAAAGGGGTTTGCCATCAGAAACACACAAGTCTCATGGGATTTACTAAGAAATGAGGGGAGATCTCGTTCAGGAACTTCCATCGTCCGAAACATAAAGGAAAGTCTCCAGGACGTTAAATTACTTACGGAGATAGCTTTCGGGGTCTTCATTAACTGAGGAACAGGGATGAGTCTCCTGGGAGTTGGTGAGTATTACGAGAGACCTCCTTCAGGTTCTCTATCACCAGAAACAAAAAGTGTTGGTTGTAGGTGAGTATTGAGAACGATCGACTTTAAGTTCTCCCCCTGCAATTGGAACCTATAATCGATGGTGTCAATAGAAAAATCGTCCGCAGGGCATATCACCCTCCTGGAAAGGAAATCTTTTGATTGAGTGGCGTAGGAGTGTGAGCATGAGAACAAGAGAATATTGAATGGCCAGTCAATATTGACCTGTGTGAGCATGCATATTCTGCTTAGGTTCGACCATGCACAGGGTGGGTTGACTGGGCATCATTCCTTAATTCTGTTCATTCAGCTCATCAATAATTGGGATCAGGTTGTGAACCAATTATTGAGTCATATGCCATAGGAAAACTAATAGGGGGTAAAATATCAACCTATAAAACACGAACTTAACGTGAAAAAATGGTTTTGGGTACAGAGACAAAAACACAAATAATATATTCTAGAATGACACAAATGTTAAAATATTACGAATGTTAATTCATTACGGAGGTAATATGTTGCAAATACTAATCATATTATCAGTCACAAACATTGTTCGTCTCCAATAAACTCCAATTTAAAAATAAATACTCTAAGAAATAACTAGATGAAGGACATAATAATATACCAACTTGTAATCTACTCGTTAATAGGATAACATTATATTAAATAGTTATCCTCCGATTCCTCTAATAAGGGTGATATAATCTGGATATACATTGATCCTTAATGGAACGAATATTTGTTTAGAATCATTCTAGGGTAATGATATAGTTAGCGTGTCTTCTATAAGATTGTTTGATATAGGGAGAGGTCTTTGTTTGCCCTCTTCGAGGTAAACAAGAAGCTCGACTTTGTTCACAAGGCAAAGATACGTACTTGTTTGATTTGAAATCCTAAAGATAAATTATTAGTTTGCTATTCTCTTACAAATGTTTATGTATTTGTAGTTAAGTATTTGAAGTATGTATTTACTTTTAAATCGCTATAAATCACAATTTATAGTGATTTAAAAGAGAAATTCATTATCTGTCAGAAATATATCCATATCTCTGGCTAGTAGTTTATCTCTCTCTCTCTCTCTCTCTCTCTCTCTCTCTCTCTCTCTCTCTCTCTCTCTCTCTCTCTCTCTCTCTCTCTCTCTCTCTCTCTCTCTCTCTCTCTCTCTATCTATCTATCTATCTATCTATCTTTAACTCTCTCAATCTCTAACTCTTTCTCTGTTCCCTTACACTTTTTCTTATGGATACTGGATGGTGTACAGCTCCATCATTTTTTATGGGGGAAACTGTGTCCCTTGAAGGCCCATTTTCTATTCGCGAGAGGTCGTTTTAAATCCAAAAAAATACTAAAATCTTTCACAATCTATCAAATGTGAGTTGAACATTTATGTTATAAAACAAGCGTCCATTGATTATGTTTCTATGGACTTATTTGTACTTCAATACGTACATTGTACGCATTGTAGTACATAAACGCTTATTACAAACACAGACTATATAGTACACAGACACACACACACACACACACACACACACACACACACACACACACACACACACACACACACACACACACACACACACACAAACACACACACACACATACAAGCATGTATATATATACACAGGTACTTGAGGGTAACTTGATATAATAGGTTTAAAAATACATAGAACAAGGCGACATATACCAGTTGATGGCACCCACATAATTAAAGATACAGGTAGATATGATTCATGAGAAAATACCCCAATATCTTTAAAGATACGATATTAATAACGAGAATAAGGGCAATAAAAGACTGCGAAAAATTACACGACTGATAAAATATGAATAAATAAATTATTGGCTTTTAGAATTCAGCCCCCACTAAGTGTAAGGTTATGAGGTTACAAATAAGATCCCTAATTATTTGCCTTTTTCCCAATGAACGTTACTATCCATCCCTCACCAGCACGCTATCTCCAACATCACAGCATGTACACTCTCTCATTATCTATATCCATCATAATCTCTCATCTTACAGTTCCGCCACAGAGGGTGAATATCCTAAACTCAGAAGAGGTGGAGGTCACCGGAGTGATTGGACCTTACTCTCTAGGAGGCAGCCTCGTCTTAACTTGCCAGACCACAGGAGGTATGTGCACTACCCTAGTTGTGCTGGAAGGATTGCACATCTGTTCTTAAGTCACGTATTTGTGTGTGTGTGTGTGTGTGTGTGTGTGTGTGTGTGTGTGTGTGTGTGTGTGTGTGTGTGTGTGTGTGACACATTGCCCGAAACACTCTGCGTAATAGTGGCTTTATTAAGTATGCATTTTATGTACTAACTTTTACCGTTTCTGAATATTTTTTAATAAAAAAATAATTATTTTTATTACTATATGTCGGCATCCTTTAGGTACCTTCAAGTCGTCTTTCCTTAATCTGTTTGAGGCAAAAGTCACAACAAAGTATGAAGGAAAAATCATTGTTATTTCCAATACTTTGGTGCATAAGAAATCAGAAAAAACACTACCCAGGAACAAAAAATATAAATTTGTCACAGTGTCATGAAACTTTCTCTCTTTTCCATCTTTATTCATTTTTCCCCCATATCTCCGTACTGTCGTTATCCGTGCCTTTATTCTCTCCCTCTCTTCTTACTTTCTCTCCGTCCTCTTCATTATTTATTTCCTTTACCCATTACATATCTTTTTCACATCTCATTTTTCTCACTAATTCTGCTCTCTCCCTCCGTTTACCAACCAATCTTTCCCTTTTTCATAATCTCGCCCTCCCCTTCTCGTCTCTCGCTCCACTTACTCCCATTCTCCTTCCCCTTTTTTACCACTTCTCACCTCATAATTCTCCCATCTCCCTCCCGCCTACCCCTCACAGGCCGGCCTTCCCCTCGTGTGACCTGGTGGCACGAAGGGTCACTGCTTGATGCCATCAGCGAGACCAACAGCAGCCAGGTCACAAGAAACACCCTGACCTTGCCTAACCTGACTCGCCACCACCTCTTCCGGGTCATCACGTGTCGGGCCTCCAACTCTAATTTGACCCAAGCTTCCCATGCTTCCGTCACCATCGACATGAGCTGTGAGTCTATACGAATATATTTCAATAATTTAAGAATTAGTCATTTACAGGAAAAATAAAAATTGCCACGTGCGTTATCGCGATTAACTTCAGTCAATTGGATTATTTATTTATTTATTAAGCAGTTTGTGTTGAATGCACTTTATTTCTTCTCTGCTTACAGTCCCTCCCCTGGACGTGAGGATCCTAGGAACGAACACGGCTCTGCAAGAGGGTCAACACTACTCATTCAAGTGTGAGTCGAACGGCTCAAGGCCTCCTGCTACACTTTCGTGGTGGATGGACGGTGTTATGATGAGCGCTGCACGCGATCAGGTGAGATCTGTAATATTCTCTCTCTCTCTCTCTCTCTCTCTCTCTCTCTGTCTCTCTCTCTCTCTCTCTCTCTCTCTCTCTCTCTCTCTCTCTCTCTCTCTCTCTCTCTCTCTCTCTCTCTCTCTCTCTCTCTCTCTCTCTCTCTCTCGCGCTATATCTCTCTCTCTCTCACACACTCGTTCTACTCGTCCTCAGGTGTCAGTCGAGGCCAATGTGAGCAGGACAACCCTCCACCTGACCCCCACCAGGAACAACGACGGTGCCATCGTCTCCTGCAGGGCTGAGAACTCTGCTCTCCCTGGAGCTGCCATGGAGGACTTTATCAAACTCACCGTGTTCTGTGAGTTTACCGGTTCTTGGTATTATTGTGTGTGGAACTTGTCTTGTAGTGTGTGAGTGTGTGTGTGTACTCATCTAATTGTACTCACCTAATTGTGCTTGCGGGGGTTGAGCTCTGGCACTTTGGTCCCGCCTCTCAACCGTCAATCAACAGGCGTACAGGTTCCGAAGCCTATCGGGCTCTATCATATCTACACTGGAAACTGTGTTTGGAGTCAGCCTCCACCACATCACTTCCAAATGCATTCCATTTGTTAAACATTCGGACACTAAAAACGTTCTTTCTAATATCTCTGTGGCTCATTTGGGCACTCAGTTTCCACCTGTTTCCCCTAGTGCGTGTGCCCCTTGTGTTAAATAACCTGTCTTTATCTACCCTATCAATTCCCTTGAGAATCTTGAATGTGGTGATCATGTCTAGCTCTTCAGTCTTCCAGCGAAGTGAGGTTTAATTCCCGTAGAGTCTCCTCGTAGCTCATACCTCTCAGCTCGGGTACTAGTTTGGTGGCAAACAATTGAATCTTTTTCAGTTTGTTCTTATCCTTGACTAGATATGGACTCCATGCTGGGGCTGCATACTCCAGGATTGGCCTGACAATGTGTGGTCGTGTTGTGTGTGTGTGTTGTGCGTTGGGTGTATATATGTGTATTGTGTGTATGGTAGTGAGCGTGCGTACTTGAGCATGTAAATGTGTTTGCCTATTGCTTCCCGTGTTTACTCTCTGCATCTTTTTCATGTGTTTGTCCACCTTCCTTATTCACTTTGGACCAGGAAATGATTCTCCTTTCTCAGAGACTTTTTATTTTTCTTACTGTTGGAATAGCTAACAATAAAACTTTTCAATTTGTGTCTTTGATGGAAAGGAAGTTTTATTGCATTTTATTTTTTGTGTTAAAGATTATTTTTTTAATGTGCCATTATATTGCATGTCATCAAATAACCATTTTAAATCCCCTATAATATTTTATTTAGTTCAATACAGTTAATTCGAAATATTCATGCTATCCTCCACCCACTATGACATAAGAATAAAAGCTAAATTGCCCACTAATAAGCATGTATGTGACATAAACATCTTGCACCCGACTGAGTGAATAAAGATTTAAGAGGCAATTTTGAAAATAATGATTGTTTACCATCGCTCAGTATTCTAATTATGGGAACATCCATATCTTCAGAGTCCAAATCTCAACCCCACCCACCCACCTAGGGAATTATCTAAAAAAGAAAAATCATGAATTATTCCCCAAATATCATAAAAAGTCTTGATTCTGTCTTCATAGACTGTGTGTATATGCTCTCCAAACAATTGGAAAAATAAATTCCAAATTATAACCATTGTTGTTGTTTTTCCTTACCCATTAGCAGCACAGGAGATCATTAGAGACCTCATTATGTCAATTATGTCCTCTCCTGTGTCAGCCCAACAAGCGTTAAATCCGAAGTGTTTTTTACCTGACTATCAGAGTATGAACGAAAGCACGACCTACATGACCTCCTGCGCCCGATGCTCATTCGTCCGAGGAACGTCAGCACTCCAATGTTATTAATTTTACAAAAGCACTGGAGTTATTGACAGTGTTGGTTGATTGTGTCCAAATAGGGAGCATTAAGTGTGAGGACAGGTTTCTTGTGTGTAGCATAATAGAACATATGAAAATGGATTATCTGTCAGTTGGTTACCAAGCCAATTGTGGTAGTACGAGCGGCACTAATGGTAATATTAGAACTGATTTAGTAGTTGCAGTTGGCTAGAAAATCAGTAAGATAGAGATTTAACTGTCTCTACTTCAGCTAACTGTGGAATTCGAAAGTAGAGGAAAGTAGGGAGAAATCCTTTTGTTTTTCTACAATTTTTTTTTCTATTTGTTTCTATCTCCTGCCAGTAGGTTAGTGCTCTAAATAAAAATCTTCCTATGAATTCCCATGCATTTTATTTTCCTCCCTACCCACTTTCACATCCACTATCTCTCTCTCTCTCTCTCTCTCTCTCTTCTTCGATTTCCCTCTCCCTCCCTCTCCCTCTCTCTCCCCCCTCATGCTATTCTCCCCATCCACCCTTTGTTTCTGCCAGTTATGCGTGTCCTTCTCGTTTTTCCATTTGGTCAGGGGAGATCGTAACAGTTTTTTCCTTCAATTCGGTTTTACTCCGTCTTTATTGGAGACCTGTTGTCGATGTCCAGCACTGTTGCATTCTACTGTTTGCGTATACTTTGACTGCGTAAATAGTACTTTCTGTGTGTCTCTCTCTCTCTCTCTCTCTCTCTCTCTCTCTCTCTCTCTCTCTCTCTCTCTCTCTCTCTCTCTCTCTCTCTCTCTCTCCTCTCTCTCTCTCTCTCTCTCTCTCTCTCTCTCTCTATCTCTCTCTCTCTCTTCTCTCTCTCTCTATCTCTCCTCTCTCTCTCTCTCTCTCTCTCTCTCCTCTCTCGCTCTCTCTCTCCCTCTCTCCTCTCTCTCTCTCTCTTCTCTCTCTCTCTCTCTCTCTCTCTCTCTCTCTCTCTCTCTTTCTCTCTCTTTTTTAGGGCTACTGTCAGAGCTGTGAAAGTCTACGGGACACTCTCAACAGATTTCATTACTAGATTTTACTTTTTTTTCTCCTGTAGTCTATCTGTCTGAATCTCTCTCTCTCTCTCTCTCTCTCTCTCTCTCTCTCTCTCTCTCTCTCTCTCTCTCTCTCTCTCTTGAACCATCTGTAGGCCGTAGGTGCAAGGATAGACGGCATCCATCTCTGGGCCGTAGGTGCAAGGATAGGCACCTACATATACATATGCTCCTTTGCATCTGAATTATTCAGGGATGGATGGAAGAGAGACGGGAGAAATGGAAAGATGAGGGGAGAAAATGATGGAGAAAGTAGAGAGAAGGGGATAGAAGGGATGAGATTGAGCAAGGGAAGGTAGTAGTTTGGTGTTTGTTATTATCCAACAAAAATTAAGCATAAAATATGGCTTATTTGTTGTTACTATTTTCTGATTGGTTATTTGTTGGTGAACCCAGTCTGTATGACAACAGTCTCCCTAACAATGCATACATAGCCTAGCAATGTTTTTCTGCCTAGCAATGTTTTTCGATCTGCATGATAACAGAGTGTGTAGCAAGTTTACCTAACAACAGTCTGCCTGACAATAGTCTGTCTGACAACAGTCTGACTGGCAACAGTCTGACTGGCAATGTTTGCCTGACAACGGTCTGCCTGGCAACGAGGCCGAAGACAAGGTTCTTTGCTATATTATGTGCTCGCGGAAGGCTTGATTAGCCTGTCATTCATCCCTGACAAATAATAAACAACATTATTTTGCACCTATATATCTTCCCACGTGAGGATGTGTATGTGTGTTTGTTTGTGAGTATGTGTATTCACCTAGTTGTGCTTGCAGGGGTTAAGCTCGGCTCTTTCGGCCCGCCTCTCAACTGTCAATCAATCAATTGTTACAAACTACTATCTATTTTTTCACACATATCCCCAGGAAGCAGCCCGTAACAGCTGTCTAACTCCTAGGTACCTATTTCCTCCTAGGTAACAGGGGCATTGGGGTGAAAGAAACTCTGCCCATTGTTCCTAGCCGGCGCCGGGAATCGAACCCGGGCCACAAGATTACGTGTCCTGCGTGCTGTCCATACAGCCACCGGCGCTGTGTGTGTGTGTGTGTGTGTGTGTGTGTGTGTGTGTGTGTGTGTGTGTGTCCGTGTCCTAAGCTAGATGTATGGCCAGAATAGCCCTCAGTCCCAAGGCCCGCCTTTCGAACGTTCTTAGCCATGAAATGGTCTAATTCCTACGATATTCTTATAGTTTATTTAAAGCTGTGTATTGAGCCGTATTCAACGTCTTCTACGTCTAAACCATTCCATTAAATGGCGGCTCTAACACTGAAGAAGTACTTCCAGACATCTCTGTGACTAATTTGTGTTTCTTGTTTTCATCTATGCCTCAACATCCTGCAATTTCTCGCTTTGAACAATGTTTTTTGTTCACTTTGTAAATTTTTGTTCAATTCAAATATGTCTCTAATGTATGAGAGTGTGTAGCTGCGTCAATGTAAGAGTTTAATCCAATTCATCAGTCGAATGCAGCACGAATCACTGTATTTATTGCATTACTAAATAAAACATTTCTTTCCGCTTGCTTCCTGGCCTGGATGACAACAGATGAGCCTCAGGTGGAACTCAGGACAGGACACAAACTCTCTCTCGCCAGCATCAAGGAGGGAGATGACGCTCATCTCGAGTGTATCGTTCAGGCCAACCCCCCTCCACACACTCTCACTTGGTTCTTCCAGGTACGTCGCTGAGAAGATAGGAATAAGGATGGGTGGGTGTAGCGATGGGTGGGAGGGATAAAGATTCGTCGGTGGATTAAATGACAGGTGGGAGAAAATATGATACTTGAGTATATGTGAGTGTAGTTAAAGGACTTGTAACAGTAGATAGAAATAAGGTAACTGCTCAAGCAAGCACAAGGAATCAATACAGCTTTAACTCAAAATTTACAGGAGGGTATCTTATCTTTCTCTGTCTGTCTCACCGCTCAGGGCGAGGAGCTGCACCAGAACGTCAGTGCGGGAATTGTCATCACCAATCAGAGCCTGGTCCTTCAGAACGTCGGCCGTAACTTCACCGGTAGATACACCTGCAGCGCTTTCAACACCCGTGGTTCAGCCTCCTCCCAGCCCCTCAATCTCAACGTTAAGTGTGAGTAGAATCTCAGCGGCGCTTTGGATTTTTTCTCTGTCCTTCTTACGACCTTCCACCCAACTTCTTACGTTTTTCTGTCCTACTTTAGTTCTTCCGTTCGCCTCCTGACTTTTTTCCGTCTTCTAAATTACATCCGTGAGGCATTTTCCATACGTCTCTCTCCTCGTGACCTCCCGTTTCCTCTCTATACTTCCTTCTATCCTTCGCCTTATATCCATTATATTAATGATAATTATAGTAACTGTTTCTTTATAAATTAACAATAAACTTGAATCTTAATTGAAACTTGAATTATAAGATCAGTCAGTTATAAACGCTTCACTATATTTTAATTAAAGTTCTTGAATATATATGACTGTAAACATTTGTACATTTATAAATGAAGATATTCGATTCAGTACAACTCAGTAGGATTATAAATTGTATCACTGATATATATATCATGAGAGAACCATATTTTTGTAATAAATACTATTGTTTTTATTAGCCATATATTAAAATAGCTTTTTAATTGTTGAATTGGCAGTATGTTTAAGTCATCCATATTTTGCCAAAATGTTTTCAACAATTTTGCGTATCTCAAGTGAAAAGAGCGTCGAAATTGTTCTGTATATACAAAGGAAACCTGTGTTTGTTTGTAATAAATCGTACTTTTTTTGATAGATAACGATTAATAATAATAACACATTATTGATAATATTGAAAGAATTTTTTATATTTGCAATACCTACCTTCCCAAAACTTTTTCAATCGTGTCAAAAATCGCCCAGGACTCACGCTCCAGAGAGAGACAGAGACATCATCTTCATTAAACAAGCCCCAGAGAGACAAAGACCCGACTCAAGATCCACAAGTCCCATATATATACCATCCCCGTTCCTCAGACCTCAGAAAAAAATATTCCATCTCCCTTTCCTCACTACTAAGTGAATAATAGACCCTCTTTCGTTCTTCCAGCCCCAAAGAGACAAAAACACTCCCATTCCTCAAACCAAAGCAAGACAAAGGTACCCCTATTTCTCAAACCCCAGAGAAAGATAGACCATCCCCCGATCCGTAATCCGTTAAGCGGAAAGACTGTGGCTGGAATCCCTCGCAATATTCCAGGTAGGATAGGAGAGAAGCATCGCCCTGGCTGACCCCTCGTCTCTACGAACCTCGTTGGATTAAAACGTCCTGGTAAAACAGAGTACCATGGGGGGAAGAATTGAAAGGATCAATGCGTTATCCCTGCCGGAGATGTATTGGCATAAACGGGCACTATGGAACTCGTTGAGGGATACTGTTTTCTGAAACAGAGACACAGGCATAAAAAGTGAGACGTATATAAATATATATATATATATATATATATATATATATATATATATATATATATATATATATATATATATATATATATATATATGTCGTACCTAGTAGCCAGAACGCACTTCTCAGCCTACTATGCAAGGCCCGATTTGCCTAATAAGCCAAGTTTTCCTGAAATAATATATTTTCTCTAATTTTTTTCTTATGAAATGATAAAGCTACCCATTTCATTATATATGAGGTCAATTTTTTTTATTGGAGTTAAAATTAGCGTAGATATATGACCGAACCTAACCAACCCTACCTAACCTAACCTAACCTATCTTTATAGGTTAGGTTCTTTATAGGTTATATATATATATATATATATATATAATATATATATATATATATATATATATATATATATATATATATATATATATATATATATATATATTTATTTATATATGTTTGTGTGTATGTGGGTGATTTTAAGGCAAATTTATATCCTCAGTTTTCTCCCGTTTTGAAATAAGGATGAAATTGTTCTACGTAGATATATTGTCGTGTTATGAATGAATTTTTACAGGTATATTAGATTTTTTAGATTTATTTTTTGCGAACTTTTTCGCGATTGTTCGCTAAAGCATTGCATTGAAACAAAAATGTGATAGCAATTATTATTGAGAGCTTTCCTGACATTTATCTGCTTCTTTATTTATTTTCTTTTATAGATTTGTCCTACTCTCTCTAATTTCACCTTCTTTTCCTCTTTTTGCTGTAATTTAAATTGCTTATTTTTTGTCTGTTTCTCTTTATGTTTTTGGTTTCCCATTTCCTCGTGAGAATTGCAAAGCCAAGCGAACAGGTGTCCCTTGAACCATAAACACAGTTCCAGCACGAGCATTCAGCTGACCATACACACTCTACCGGGTGACTATACAAAGATCAATTCCCAAAGCCGGACGCGCTTCCGCAACACTGCCTCAATACTACTTTTATTTGAACTTCGTGTAGTACGTTCCCTCTAGCAAACAACGATGTCATTCGCGACCTTATCCCTCTTCCTCTTGCTCTCTTCCCCCACCTCCCACAACAACGACTTTATTCGTCCACATGGGATCCGGGGAACACATCCCTCCAACGCGGTCTCGTTATACTCCATTTCCCACAACTATCATTTTTTTATGGTACGGACGCTAGTCCCTTTCATGCGCCAGAGTGGAACACAGACGCCCACGGCACTTTTTTTGCTCTTCAGTGATACATCGTGTATCGCTTTAGAGAAGGACCTGTTAAACTAATCAACAGAGCCATGAACTCAAACGGAAATGGAAATTGTTCTGAATTTCATTGCACTATTTCTACGAATTGCCTTACGAATGAATGGCACAAGGAATCTATATTAGTTCTCTCTCTCTCTCTCTCTCTCTCTCTCTCTCTCTCTCTCTCTCTCTCTCTCTCTCTCTCTCTCTCTCTCTCTCTCTCTCTCTCCTCTCTCTCTCTCTCTCTCTCTTCTCTCTCTCTCTCTCTCTCTCTCTCTCTCTCTCTCTCTCTCTCTCTCTCTCTCTCTCTCTCTCTCTCTCTCTCTCTCTCTCTCTCTCTCTCTCTCTCTCTCTCTCTCTCTCTCTCACATATATATATATATATATATATATTATATATATATATATATATATATATATATATATATATATATATATATATATATATATATATAATATATATCACCTAACTACAAGCCGGAGAGGAAAAACATTAACGAGCAGTTATATTGCATTCAAAAACAAACTAACAGCATCAGTCACGAGGCTGGATGGTCTCCCTTTATGCAGGTTGGTGGTCAATCTCGACCATCCGAATGGTTAGGCACTATTCCTTCCTTCCTATCCTAAATCCTTATCCTCAGCCCTTCAAAGGCCTCTGTAGAAGGTAATAGCTTAGTGCTTTCACGAAATAATTACCTTACCTTGGAAGCGCTCGGTCGTTACAGGAACCAAGTATGAGGAACCATTATCCAAATGATAGAATCCCTTATCCTTGTGTGAGGGATCCTTTATTCTTGTGTGTGGATTCCATATTCTTGAATGTGGATCCATTATCCTTGTGTAGAGATATTTTATCCTTGACTGGGGATCCTTAGTCCTCTGGGTTAGGATCTATTATCCATGATTGGGAATCCTTTATCCTTGTGTGAGAATCCTGTGTGTTTGTGTAGGGGTCGTTTATGTTCTTTTATCCTTGTGTAAATCCCTCATTCAGAAAGTACTGATAAAGAGGCGATGAAAATTATGGTAATTCTGTTTATACAGAGAATAACTCAAATATTTTTATTTATGAAGATGATGATGACGATTGATGATTTATTTATGATAAGTGATGATAGTTTGTGATACGTTTGCTGTGTTTGGGGGGTCATTATGGCTAAGATAATGAATATGATGATGGTTTATAATGATGTTGGTACTTATAAGCGGTTATTTACACGAAATGGTAGCAAAATGTATTCCAGGGACACGGTCCAGTATATATATATATATATATATATATATATATATATATATATATATATATATATATATATATATATATATAATATATATATATATTTATATATATATATATATTATATATATATATATATATATATATATATTATATATATATATATATATATATATATATATATATACATTTCTTCCTGGGTTTTGCACTGTGAGTTCACGTCGGTATTCGCGTCTTTGTGAAGCTGAACGACTTTCTCACCAGACTGAATAGATATTGAGGACCCTGAGGCAGCTTCATTCACAACCTAACATTCCCAACTTCTCACTAATCTTTCGCACTCACTTACCCAGCCTTCCTCGACCTCCTCTCTTGCTCCACCTGCCTTTCCTACTCCCCCTCAACCTCCACACTCACTTTCCCCCGCGTCCTACAGCCTCTCTGAACCTCCACACTCATTTCCTCAGCCTACCTCGCACACTCACTTCCAAACATTCAAAATATTTCCCCCGTTCTACCATCGTCTTCCCTAGTACCTCCCGTTCCACTTCCCCACCTCTATTCCCTTCCGCTTTTCGATTATAAGGAACCCTCGTAGCGTTGGGAGTGGTTGGTGGGGTTGTTGGAGGCGGGAAAGAGGAGTCAGAAGGTAAAATTGGAATTTCAGATTCATATTTAAACACTTAATTTTAGAAACTGGAAAGGTTTCCAGAGTTAAGACTTACATTTTCTTTTATACGTAGAGAAAATGTAGAGATAAATGGAGAGGGCGGGAGGGTGAAGGAGAGAGAGATGGGAGAGGATGGAGAGTGAAGGAAAGGAAAAAAAATGGTGGGGAGAGTAGGTGGGAGGGAAAGCAAGATTGTAACTGAGGAGAGGCTTATAAGGTGGGCGAGTATACTGCTGAGGGCCAAGTGGCACTCCTGACAAGGGGAAGATAACACACACACACACACCTCCCCGCCTGCAGGTCCTTGTGTGCCTGGTTACCTGGTTGATACCTGGTTGATGGGGTTCTGGGAGTTCTTCTACTCCCCAAGCCCGGCCCAAGGCCAGGCTTGACTTGTGAGAGTTTGGTCCACTAGGCTCTTGCTTGGAGCGGCCCGCAGGCCCACATACCCACCACAGCCCGGTTGGTCCGGCACTCCTTGGAGGAATAAATCTAGTTCCTCTCTTGAAGAAAGCCACCCTTTCTTTCCTCCCCACTACCATGAGAACCTCCCGCAAGGTACCTTTCCGTCAAAAATATTTTGATGAGCATGTGTGTTTGTTTACTCGTGATTGTAAACACATGTATCCGATGAATACAAAACAAACCCACACAATCTTCACTCTACGTCGCCACCAGACCCTCCAGTATGCGCAGAGGACCAGCGCTGGACGTACGGAGGAGGCCGCGGCGACCAGGTGAATATCACGTGTGATGTTGAGTCGCAGCCAGAACCCCACACCTTCCGCTGGGCCTTCAACACCTCCTCTGAGATGCAGTACATCTCTAAAAACCGTATCCACTTCGCCAGAGGTCGAAGCGTCGTGGCCTACACCCCCATCACCCACCAGGACTTCGGCACTCTCCTCTGTTGGGCTGTTAACGAAGTCGGGTCGCAGTCGCAGCCTTGCGTCTACCTCGTTGTACCTGCCGGTAATGGTGACTTAACTGATAATTCTGCCTATGTTATCGTAGTTTGTTCTTGAATTTTGGTCAACTATTCACTCACAGGTATATAGATAATCCCTTAAAAATTCTCTGATCCACACAAACTGCATTCCCAGACTACCGTATTTAATTTAGTGGTTAATCTATAAACTTATCGAATTGCAATACTCCTTCATTATTGTCTCTTTGATAATCTATAGGCCATATGTAACACTGTCAGTTAATAGCTGTTTCTTTAGCTACCATGTTTTAATCCTAGATTACTATTAATTGTCAGTCTATAGTATTTTTCGAAGTAATAAAAAGGTAACAATTGTTCCAAGTCAGTCATTAAAAGTTCACGAGCACGGTATAATCTTGCAGCAATTTCTGTAATGGCAATTCAATAGCCATAATTAAGGCTCTGTTATTATCGTCAAATTATCATAATTAGTGAACCAAATTCAAAGTCCTTGATGACTATGCAATAGTTTCCTGAATGCACTTCCAAAACAATAGACTTAAATTTCAAGATAAATAAATCAAATCTATACTGAAAAATATATGTTCGAAACAACTGGAATCGATTATTTTATTATTGTACAGCTTGGTCATTTGATTAGCGTTAATTGATTTAACTTCTATATAGTTAATAAATCGCTTTATTTCTGTAAATTAATTCCTTAAAAAGCAAAAGCAAAATAAAATTTAAAACCTAAATTGGTGAGCGGCTTTCAATATGCTCTCACATTTGAGTTTATAAAAATTGCATACATCAGTACTTGAGCATAATTAAATTTAGCCTACTATTTTTAAATATAGAAAAAAATGTTTAACTTTAGAGACAAACATTTAAGCATTTATAGCAGCCTGTCGATGAAACTTAGTAAGGTTTTGATTATCTAATAAGTAATAGATTATTGCTGTACATAAAGCTGATGCCATATCTAGTCTTAAACGTGTACCGTGATAGTAATGAGGTTTTAATTATCTGTAATAAAGCGGAGTTAACTCCACTTCTGGTAAATATAGCCTTGAACCCAATTTTTCCTGTTAGTGATATTAACACCAAGAATTACCGTTAGCGTGTCTGACTCACTAAGTTTTCCCAATTATTGCACCGACCCTATTATCCCTTTTAGCGTCGTTGATTCCATGTCTCCCAATTACTGGCACTGATCCTAAGTTTCCCTCAGCGGTGCCGGATCCCGTTAACAACTGTAGCGTGTGGCACAACGCAAGCGCCGCGGGAGAGGTGGTGGTGTCCTGCGAAGCTGGCTGGAGTGGTGGCCTGACCCAGACCTTCACCTTAGAGGTACGACAGATTTCGGCGTCGGGGAAGTTAGGAGAGATCGTGGCCTCGTTCGTCCAGCAGACACAGCCTCACTTCACCGTGACAGGTCTTGCCCCGGGTACGGAATACCAGCTTGCGGTGGGGGCATCCAATACCCAGGGCGCCGCCCCGGCTACCCTCCTGTTACACCACACGCCCATAGACGTAGCAGAAAAGAGAATGAGTGCAGCTGCCGCGGAGTCCTTCGGAATGGGTCTCAATCGGATGATGATTGCGGGGATCCTGGCGGTGGTGGTGGGTTCCGTGGGCTCGCTGGTGATCTGCTCGATGGTGCTGGTGCTCGTGGTGCGTGGTCGCCACAGACACGTACGTGGCCAGCCCGGGGCCATGTATGATAAGGCGGCCGTGACTGCGGGCAAGACTTGCGACCATGGAGGAAGCTTCGAGCACCTCCACCGAGGGCCAGACCTCATCCTCGTCAAGACTGGTGAGAGTGTGTCTAATAGACGTTACTTGCTATCATTACTATTATATTCCGGCTAGATTATAAGATTTTTGTTTAGTTTTTTAAACACAGAAATGTTATGCTGAAACCTATCCTCCTCTTTAAATAATACTTTTAGTAGCTATGTGAACCATCATACAGAAATAGACATAATGGACAGTTAGATAGTATAGTTTCGTACTATTCACTTTATAGAGACTGAAAAAAGGTAAACCCAAACCAAAATATTTCTAGCTATTTTCATATATGTACTATTTTAGGCCTCAGATAGGATGTATTAGAACTACGAAGGTTAGGTTAGGTTAAGTTTCCATTGCAACATCAATACAAAGACTTTTCCTGTTTGTCCAAAATCAATAGTATCGATTTCTACTTTCTAATTGTCTTTAACGTCATGTATGATAGTCCGCATCGTTACAAAAATACTTCCCAAACAGGTGGATGAACAAGATGCGGACACAGCCGGACATCCAACGATAACAATTTTTTTTGTATGTGTAATCCTTTGAAACACACAAACACTTACACTCTCACACACACACACACACACACACACACACACACACACACACACACACACACACACACACACACACACACACACACACACACACACACACACATGCACACCATCACACGCACACATCCATAGCATATAATTTGCAACCATTACAAAATGCACCCCTTCCTCCTCCTCCATCGTATTAACAGATCAAATAAAACTAGGGAACAAAATAAATATTGGCCAGAAGTTCGCAAGGAGTTTTGCAAACCACTGCATCTCCGGGTAATTATTCCTCGGTCGATATAGCTTATCTTTTCTGGCTTCTTGGAATCCTTTCCAGAGTTTTCTTCAAAGTTATAATCTCGTTATTATACCTAATTTTGCCTATTTGTTATCATAGCGACTGCTGTAAGTATAATAGGTATGTTTTTCTGGAATTTCTCAGCTATTTGGGAGATAAAATTCTCATATATTCCAAAATTATTGGCTATATTTATATATGTATATATGATTAAGATTCCAGAAGATTTCCTCTATATTTATGGTTATTTTGAGTTGTGTTGAACTTAATATTGATTTTATACTGCTATTGTTAATATTAATAATATTATTGAGAAAATCATTTGGAGCCAATGAGTAGGATTCGAACCAGTAACTAGAGTACTCCCATGAACACACCTTAAAACATTATACCACGATACGCTTATATATGTAATGTAACCTGGGAATCAGCTGAATCCACACAGGAGTCCTCAGGCATCAAACCGATACTATATTAAATCTTCACACATTGCCCGGGAACCTCTGGTGTGGTATTGGAGGTCTTCCACCAATGCTCCCTTCAAATGCATAAACAAAATTAAATTAACGTGATGTATTGATGAGGGTACTCTTCTCGTGGTCATGTGGCTTTAGGTGTGCGCTTGGGAAACACTTGTTGCCGGTTCGAATCCTCTTCATGGCTCCAATGGATTTTCTCATTGATAATCACGTTAATGTAGTTTGTTTATGCATTATAAACATTATTATTGTTATTATTATTATTATAAGTAAAAGTTTTATTAGTAGTAATATTTGTATTTTCGACATTACTGCTACGTGTATGACCTAGTTAGAGAAGCTATTGAAGAGATATTACTATTATTGGTATTGCAGAAGTAGTACTGTTATCAGTAGCAATATCTACAATGTTGAAAGTAAAAACAGTATTACTCGTGTTGTTGAAATACTTATTGAAGACGTAACAAGATATCAAATAGTAACTGTATTATACACATTAATATTATTGATATTTTTTATTAACATAATTTTGATTATTCACAGAGACATTTTTGCGGAACATCATTTATATTTCCCTAAAATCTCAGGCTTACTAAGGATTTTGAATTGAACTTGCAATGGTCTTGTTCTGAACATGTAATGATATTGTAGTGAACTGGTCATGAACTTGTAATGATCTTGTAACAGGCAACAAGGAAGGTGAGAAGCAGCATCCACTCCCCTCTGTTGTGCCTTGTGGTGCTCCAGCAGCTGGTACCTTAACAGTAAGTATCGAAGTATTGGTACGATAAGAATAAGTACCGTTCGTGGTAACATAAAAGTACCGCTATTGGTACTATAGGAGTAAATACCACTTTTGGTAATATTGCATAACACTAGAGGCACTCAACTCAAATCGGAATTCTATGGGATTAAATTCTAAAACATTTTGGATCTAAAACATAAGTGTCATCTACATAACGATAATATTTAGATGAACTTCCATGTACCTGTTTCATCAGTTTTACGTTTATTGAATCTTAAATTCAATTGATAATGCTGACGGACTTTTCATGCAGATTCGAACAAAAATTATTCAAATAATGCTTTTTAGCTTCCCAAATATATCTCCAGTGCTTCTATCAGATAATAATACTAAACGAATTTGAAAAATCCCTTAAAATCTGTTAACTGTTTGTATATATAGTAAGACAAAATAATCGTTAAGTTCGGTTGTAAACCGGCAGAATCGTTCACGCTCTTGTGCCAGCCAGTCTAACTACTGTACAAAAATAAAAATACTTTGTTTGCCAATGTTCGTAACATGCGTAGTATTTTTATTTTTCCAAATAGCATTGCTTCTCTTTTATACTTAAAGTTAAGAAGTAGAAATAAGGACTTGTCAAGAAATTTTTAAGTACTGATGGGAGCAATATTTGAGAGGGAGGTTGGAACATTAGAAGGAGAGGGCAATAGCAGTAGAAGAAGAGCATAATAATAGCAATAAAAGGGAAGGGTAGGCGCAAAAGATGATACGAATACAAACAATAGAATTGAAAGAAAATGAGGTCGGGGGCCTTGAAGTAACAAAATAAAATATATGTCTATTTTTCGGAATGAAAATCGAATCTCTTGTTTTGTTTCCATTACTGCAGCGTGATCACCAGGTGGGACCTTCCTCCACCTCTTCTATCATCAACGCCGGTATTCTTAACCTCGCTTCCACCACCGCCACCGTCAGCAGCAGTAACCTTGGTGGCAATGGCAGCAACAGCACCAGCAACAATAGCATCAGTCCCAGCATTAACAGCCAAGGTCAAAGTGCATCCCCTTCAGCAGCCAATGTTACAATTTTAAGTCCCCCTAAAGGCACAGTTCTGAGCACTTTGGAGCACTCTGCCACAAGTGGCAGCGGCGGTCTTATGAGCTCCAGCACTGATGCGCTCATAAATCCAAGCGGTGCCGCTATTATGAATCCCAGCGGGGCCATGATGGAAGGCAGCAACGCGGCCATAATCCACTCCGGAGAACCTCTGGTGAGCCAAAGAAATCGCCAGATGTCACTGGCGTCTCCGGCTACACTGGAAGACTTCCACAGCCGGGTGACTCACCCCTCGTCGTCCCCTGGTGCAGGGCGACGACCTTCCTTCACATCATCTTCCCCCACCATCACCACCTCCTCCACCATGCCTCGTCGGCGTTCCTCCGCCGTGGCCCTTCCTCCAGACTTCCTCCACCACGACCTCAATACCAGCAGGGAGAGCTGCGTCTAGTTACCAGGTGAGGATAGCCTAGGTTAGCTGAGCTATTTGCTCTCATGAAATGTAGAAAATAAATAATTTTAATTCTTTACTGAAGACGACAAACGATTACACGCTTCTAAATAATATATATATATATATATATATATATATATATATATATATATATATATATATATATATATATATATATATATATATATATATATATATATATATATATATATAATACTCTGAATACTTTATATTTTCTTCTCCGAGGCTATGGGTCCCCACATTGGCACCAGAGGTGGTACCCTCGCAAATTATAATATATATAAATATATATATATATATATATATATATATATATATATATATATATATATATATATATATATATATATATATATATATAATAACTGAATAACTGCATGTGTTTTGGTGATGTAGAGGGTTATATATTTTAAGAGATGTGGTGCTAGGCGTCACACTTTGCATAACTATGTAATAATCATTCTTATGCAAATCAGCCTCAACTGCAAAAAACGTTAGAGCAAACTGAACAATAAAACTATTTGCAGCTGTTGTTACTTTGTTTTGGAGCGTTAATTAGAGCCTCAGCCCTGTGTAAATACTGACGTTGCTAAATTAAATATATTTCGATGTTTTAGTTTCATTTTATTTTGATGCATTATTTTGTTGTATCCACAGGTGACTGAGAGGAGAGATGCTCCGCTGTAGTTAAGACGTTTCCTGTTACCCATGACCATATGATATTTTGGATAATATGTTCCACGATCTCTATGATCCTAAGGACCTCACGTTTCCCTGTCCTACAAATTCCAGTGGTCCAAGTGCTCGCATAGGACATACGTTCCTCCTGGTCCAAACGACTTCCAGGTCCACACTACAATGTTTCATATGTTCACAGAGACTTCCTAGAACTTTATACATTACTTCCCAGAACGGTCACCAAGCGTGGATGATCTATGAAAACCCTTAACCAAGAATGTCCGAATATTTCATTCAACTTTTGACTTTCAAACTGTAGAGGACCTGAGATATAAAATGAAATGTATCATTTCGTTCAGTTACAGTCCAATTTTCTCTAATTAAGTTCTCATATTCATAGAAGCAAATGATAATTATATTTATTTTGTGTTAATATTAATTTGCTTCCATTTTCTGCAAAGCCTTCATCTTATGTAACCGGATGATGTGTTTTGATTGATTATTATATGTTTTATATGTATATATGCATATATATATATATATATAAATATAATATATATATTATATATATAAATATATATATATATATATATATATATATATATATATATATATATATATATATATATATATATACATATATAAAGTGAGCGTGCGTTTGTGTGTGTGTGCAGACGTTACACAGATGATAATATTGTGAGGTCCCAAAAAATTAGATAAGAGAACAATAGGCATTCTTGAAAGGCCTGTGTGGTCTTCATAAATATTCATGCGATATGCATTGATATGTAACAAACAAACGGGTTTAGTTATCAGACATATATCGCCTGAGAGAGAGAGAGAGAGAGAGAGAGAGAGAGAGAGAGAGAGAGAGAGAGAGAGAGAGAGAGAGAGAGAGAGAGAGAGAGAGAGAGAGAGAGAGAGAGAGAGAGAGAGAGAGAGAGAGAGAGAGAGAGAGAGAGAGAGAGAGAGAGAGAGAGAGAGAAACAAACGGGCAGCAGAAGGACAGACACAAACAGACAGAAAGAGAAATAAGCCAGTTCATCCCCTTGGTACAACAGTCTTTTTTCACACTGAGATAAATTCTCACTTTAAAAACAAAACGAAGGATGTCAGGCATTGTCCCACCCTTGGCTCCTCTAACAATTATACCACCAAAGCTACTTCATAAGCTTTCCTAAAACTCTATGAACAAAGAAGAAAATGAGATTTGTGAAGTCTTGAGCCGCATATATATATAAATGATTAAAGCTTATATTAAGCATCAATGTTTCGAATATATCAATAGCAATGAAGATAAAATGTATAACAAATTACTAGATTTATATTAAAACCTATGAGATGGAGACATGTATATATTTCAATACCACAAAATCAACAAATAATGGATATAAAACAATCAAACCCTCGCAGGGACCATCAAGAAATAAATAAAAGATTTAGAAATTCTTTTTAATATTAAATTTTTCTAACAAAAACGAACAACACATAAACTTTTATAATGGATCTAGACAGACAAGGACAGGAAATATTTTACCCCTAGTGGAAATATATGTTTAATGTATATTAATGGCCAGAGGTTGGATTACAGACACGCACATACTCCAAAAATATAAAATATGTACATTTCTACTTTCGTTCACCAACAGACTGACATACGAGTTTTAAAACTCGCAAGAGCATTAACATTCAAACTGTCAAGACTTTAACATAAGCTCAATTAAAACCTATATTTTATTAGTTTTACGATTATTTTAGATGAATTATACTATACTCTACATAAATATATATATATATATATATATGCAACAATGATCACAAAAACACTGATCCAAGTATGCAGAATAACCACATATGAAAAATAGAAAATGCTTAACGCGTTTTCGGCTAATTCGCCTTCATCAGAGCAAAGTAGAATCAATTCTACTTTGCTGATTCTACTTTGCTCTGATGAAGGCGAATTAGCCGAAACGCGTTAAGCATTTTCTATTTTTCATATGTGGTTATTCTGCATATATATATATATATATATATATATAACTGAAAACTCACACCCCAGAAGTGATATGATATATATATATATATATATATATATATATATATATATATATATATATATATATATATATATATATATATATATATATATATATATATATTGGCCAACACTATTTTCTTGTAAATTTATTTATATATATATATATATATTTTTGTGAAAAAATCAAATAAAAGACAGAGCAGTTTAAGTACAAGACATCACTGAAATGTATAGATAAAACATGTTTGGCAAATACACATTATGCATACTATTGGAAAAAGGAAGCGTACATTCGAGACGTATTTCTAAAATGTATATTAAATGCATACTGATTAATTATGTTTATGAAATATTTATCTGAATTATATAAATTTGAATCATCTGTGTGCAGCCTGACCTCCTAAGGTTTCCCAAAGTCAAGAAAACGGTCAAAATAAATTGTCTTCTCACCTACCAGAGAACCCAAAACTGAAAATGGGACAGTATGTCTCTCGCGAGCCGCTTCCAGTTTTAAGTAGGACATTTTTTGGCCTTATTTAATGCATACGATTGAAATGCACCGTTCTTTGTAAAAGGACAGGTTGCTGTGACAGAAAAGCTTGAAATATTCGTATATATGTTTTACGAAAGCGTATATCTGAAATAGGCTCAAAATTATACAACAAATATATTTTTAAATGTATGGCTCTGAGAATACACTTCTGGAGATATTATTTTGAAAACATTTGTCTGAAAAAATTAACATGAAAAATATTCGACTAAAAATAACTATATGAAAAATATTCTTCAAAAAATATCATTATGAAAATATTATTGTGAAAATACAATAATTTATTAAATATCAAGGACATACGTGAGAAGTATACTCCAGTAATATTAGTGGGATAAATAATACATTTTCTTATATGCCTTTGGCAAGCTCGTGGTACGATTAGCTTTATACATATTGTATGTCTTTTAAAAAATAAAAAACTGAATAAATATTTAAATGTTTGTCATTGTTTTGTTTCTTCCTTCATTTTAGTGTCAAACTTCTGCCAGTACTGAGGTTATCATTTCATAATTTAAGGAATTTCCTTAAGTGCTTTCGTATTTAATAATACATCATCAGAAGATCATCCTTCTGAAGATGTATTATTAAATGCATCTTCAATTACATTATTATTAAATAAATGCATTAATAATAAATTTTCAGAAGGCTTCATGCTTCTGAAGATGAATTATAATACATCTTTAGATCATCCATCAGAAGATGTATTATTAAAGGCGAAAGTACATAAGGAAATTTCTGTTTCAATTTTATGTATATATATAGATATGTATATATTATATATATATATATATATGTATGTATATGTATATAATCAGATATTCCCACAGTCAAGTATGAAGACAGTTGTTGCGAACTAAAGAGCTTTATCAGTAAATAATCTGTTATTAGTGAACAAATACAAAAGAATGCGCAAGAACATGATCAAACATGCAAAAAAATCACAGCCTCCAACAACAAACATTGTTATCACTCAATATTGAATAGAATATGTCTCAATGAACTGAATTTTTACCATAAATTCTAAAAAAAAAGAGGTATGCAATCCCCTTTCGTCTTATCTAAGACGTGAATTTTAATTTTAGTTTTTTTTCTATTAGTCTCTTATATCTCTGAAAGAAATAAAATAACAAGGTAAAGCTAATCTGGTATATTAGAGTAGTTAATAGATCATCAACACGGAAAGTCCCTCAAACCGTTTATCTGTGTCCCATCTCTCATCCCTCATCTCTCATCTCTCTGATGAATTGTTCCTCTCTCTCTTCCACATAAATCCTTGTTCATCTTTGATTCATTGCTCCATGAATGGTAAATCAAAATCTTCATATTTGGTATCAGATAGAAGAGTCCCCACGCTCAATCTATAGGCAAATTTATAGAATTTCACAAATCTTCAAATCTTAATTAAAATATCAAGTTTAGAAGATATGCATCTCTTTGGTGACGGTAGGAAGAAGCTAACGAAAGAATATGGTTTATGCTGTAATGCGCTGCTATGTTACTAACGATGATGCTCAAACTACCTGACAATTACCAATAAATAACATATTCATCACAAAATTAGTAGGCCTCTATTTATTGAATATATATATATATATATATATATATATATATATATATATATATATATATATATATATATATATATATATATATATATATATATATATATATATATTTAAATTAAAAATGCAATACAATTTGTGTAACAAATTTTCAAATAAAAACATGACCCACAGGTAATATACAAGTGAATTGGGATCTGATAATATAGCAAATTGAGGATGTGAATATTTTTAACCAAACTTTGTTGACAATCTTCAAATGTATTTTGCTGCTGTGGACGGTAGAAAACAAATATAAGAATAGCGAGCAGATATGACAAAGCATACAATTCTCCGAAAAATTATTCAGGTGGAAACACAGGAATAGTTTATACCGAATGGATGGACGCTAGAGAAACAAATCAGCCCTATTTTTGTAATTAAACAATTTCTTTTGCGTATAGGTAGTATACAAAATTAACTTCATTCACAGTTTCAAAAGTAGATATTATAGATGACATGTTGACACAAGATCCGTTCACTTAGATAACCAACTGTTGGAAAAACGGGGTCAAGAGCTAAAGCTTAACTACATGCGAAGAAATACACATACTCACACACACACAGATCAATTCTAATTTTCTCCCTGTTGTCCCAGTCTCCAGTCCCCCCTCTCTCACACACACAAAAACTATGAACATTTTGCCAAACTTCCCGCAACCTTCGTGTTGAACAAGAGTGTTTCATTAAAAAGGCCCCGCAAGCCTAGCATTTACGACCAAACTGGCTTTATTGAGATTAAAATCTGAAAAAATATGCAGCAGTGTATCTTACCTATGTTGGACCTCCGTTAGGGGTCCCAGAGGAGCCGAGACTTCATTGGTGAGAGAGAGAGAGAGAGAGAGAAAGATAAATCTCTCTCTCTCTCTCTCTCTCTCTCTCTCTCTCTCTCTCTCTCTCTCTCTCTCTCTCTCTCTCTCTCTCTCTCTCTCTCTCTCTCTCTCTCTCTCTCTCTCTCTCTCTCTCTCTCTCTCAGTATCCACTGTTCTCCTCTCACTTCTCTCTCTTTTCGTTTCCTTCTCTCCTCCGTTTGCTTAGTCTGCTCCCAAGCTGACCTAATTCTTGAGTAACTCAGTCTTATCCCATCTTCTGCTCTTTCTCTACTGCTCCATCTTTCTAACTTACTGCTATACTCTCTCTTTTTCGTCTATCTTTCTCGCCTATCTCTCTGTCTATTTGTTCCCCAATCTGCTGTTCTGTTCTTTTTGCTCGATTTACCATATTTTATTTCTGTCTTAGTTCTCCCCTCGCTCTCTTTATCTTCCCACCCTCAGATGTTCTCCTTCTCTCGCTATCTCTTCCTCAGTCCTCCGCTATCTCTCTTCTTACA